TTCTTCAGAACCAAAACAGCTAGGGATCTGCTAGGAAATGTGTTAAAATAGTTGCAAAGTACATTGATTACACAGAGGGGATTGTTTTTTTTTTTTTTTCTTTTTTCAACAAAAGTGGAGTTACTCTTTAACCTGTCAAACATAACAAGAACACATAAATACTTAGGGGTGTGATTTATAAAGCAGTGAATCTGACACCATTCACTGCAGATGAATCTTCTGGGTTCATGTGTTTCAAATAACATTATTGACCACCAGTGTTAAAAAGTATTTTTGCTGCTTTTACAAATAGGCACTTTAAATTTAGCATTATTGTTTGCAGAGATTTTGCATGTTGAAAACTGTGGTGTTCATACCTCTGGCTTGTAGATGTCACTGATTACAGTTTTTACACATATACTTACTGTACTCTGTACAAGTGAGTCTCAGTCCCTGTTCCTGTTACGATATGCAAAAAACTCCCCTGCTGGTTTAAGCCATAATGTGCTAGTATGCACTGCATACTAGCACATTTTAGAAGTCTTACCTTTTAGTCTAGGTTCACACATATGCGTTTTCCATTGCATTTTGCAGAAACGCACTGCAGTCCATTTAACATGATTTCCTATGGGACAGGTTCACATCTCCGTGTTTTCACCTGGTGTGTTTTTTTGGAAAGGGTCAGAACTTTTTTAAATGCAAAACGTTGCATTTTTGGTTCTATAGACATCAATGGAGACACTGCAGAAAAGCACGTAGTGTATTTTTGATGCATTTTTATGTGTTTTTGACATGTTTTGTGTTAATCTGCCGAGCAACAAGAAAAAACTTTTATATTAAATATTTTAAATAACCCCGCAAAACGCATCAAAAAAATCCAAAACGCACTGCAGAAACAGATCAAACGCAAATTGCATAGGTGTGAGCCTGGACTTAGAAAGGATCCCTCCAGCGGTGCCCTGTCACCGCTGACAGGGATTCCATCCTTACCTGGTCTTCCGGGTTCATGGGCTCCGGCTGTTTGGTCAAGTCGCAAAGATGTCACTTCCACCCATATGTGCGGGAGCCCTGGGCACGGCACAGAACTCTGAAGGAACGGGATTAAGGTGCATTAACCGGTTCCTGCCCGGCCTATGGCCGAATGGTGGCCGGCAAAAAAAACCCTCATCCTTCCTGCTGGACGCCATATGGCATCCTTTCATGCATGCGCAGTTTGCTTGCCAGCAGAGCCGCGCAGCGGCGCAATCTGTCACCGGCCGGGCACCGCAGACACGGCCGATGACAGATCTGTGTACAGGCCCCATTGCCAGTACCATGGACCTGCTGTGACCAATCACAGCAGGTCACATGACAGTTGTATACAATGGATGGCTTCCTATCATGCCATCCATTGTATACAGTGTGGCTAGGTGTGAATGGTCACAGTGATCACATGCACAAGCTGGGCTTATCACATCCCAGCTGTGTCATGTGATTAGCTGTGGCCAAATCACAGTTAAGAAAAAAAATCCTGAATGAATCTATTTCAGTAATTCTTTGCTGTAAGCAAATTGTTTAAAAAAAAAAAAAAAAAATATATATATATATATATATATATATATATATATATATATATATATATAAATCACTTCCCCAAAGTAGTACAATGTTACTTTGGTAACATTATACTACTTTGGTCATAGTGAAATATGAAAAGAAAATGTAAAAAAAGAGAAAAAAAAGTAATAAAAAAATGATAAATTTGTTTTTTTCATACTGTCACCAGTCAGTGTCCCTGATCACCGCCATGCCAGTTATATGATGACACTGTATTGCACTGGTGACAGTATGTAAAAAAAAAAATAGTGAAAATCACTTTTTTATTTCTTCATTTCTGAAAAATTATGACAAGAAAATTACAACATCAAAAAACTCGCCATGCCTGTTATGAAATACGTCTGACTGTCTACTTTGCAAAAAGGGGTCATTTGGGGGAGATCTGTACTGTTCTGACATTCTTGGACCTCAAGAAATTAGATTGGCTGTCAGTACTTCAGGATTGATCAATATTCATATATATCCCATAGTTTGTGAACTCTATAACTTTCCTACAAACTAAATAATAAATACTAATTTGGGTTATTTTCACCAAAGACATGTAGTAGAATACATTTTGGCCTAAACTTATGAAGAACAATTATTTATTTGCAAACTTTTATAACAGAAACAAAGAAAAACTTGACAACTTTTTTTTTTTCAACATTTTTGGTCTTTTTTTTTGTTAATTTAGCAAAAAATAAAAACGCCAGCGGTGAATAAATACCACAAAAAGAAAGCTCTAGTTGTGTGAAGAAAATGATAACATTTTAGTTTGGGTACAGTGTTGTATGACCACACAATTGTCATTCAAAGTGTGAGAGAGCGCTGAAACTTGAAAATTTGTCTGGGCAGGAAGGGGGTAAAAGTGCCCTGTATGGAAGTGGTTAAGGTAAAAAAACATTTTTTTTATTTCTCTGTCCTCCCCCTTCCCTGTGTGAAGGGGAAGAAAGGAGATGATGGATCCAGAGTTGTGCATGGCTGCATCTCTTCTCTCCTTGCTTCCTCTTCACAAATTGAACAGCAGCAGGAGCCATTGCTGCTGTCAATCAAATTCAGTGAAGAGGAAGTGGGGGGATAATCATTTCCACTGTGTGTGTCTACAGAGCTCAACTCCACAGGAACACATCTCGGGAGTGAGCCAGACACTGTGTGCCTCCATAGCAGCTGTTTGCTATGGGGACACACGAAGAAGAGGAGGAGCCAAAGTCGTCGGCAAGAGACCCGAGAAGAGGATTGGGGCTGCTCTGTGCAATACCATTGCACAGAGCAGGTGAATATAACACGCTTGCTATTTTAAATAAAAAAAGTAGACTTTAGTAACACTTTTACACTAACAAAGGTGCTTATAAAGGTCAGCTTATATTTATTCAAGTAACAACCTTTATCCCAAATGGAACAAAACTGTTAGCTGTTTAACATCTTCACGCCTAGACGCCGAGCGACCGCACATTTGTGTGCAATTAAGAAAAACATATGTGCTGAGAGCGCGCACCCTGCGCGCTCCCGGCACACATGTCCGGTACTCATGGAAAGGTCCCGATCTCCTCTTTCAATCGGGACCTTTCCCGATCATCTGACCACCATGATAGTGAATCACGGCAGTCACATGACCCTAAAACCCTGCCCCGCCCGCCTCCCAGCTTCTAAAACCCTTAAAGGGCCGGTAGGCGCCGGCGCTAAGGGGTTAAAAAGTGTTAGCTGGAGTTTGGCCTCAATGTGTTAGTGTATCTAAATCTACTAGTGCATCTAACACTTCTTTCCCCTAAGACTGGCAGTGCCGCTGTCCAAAGGTGTCTTTGTTGCTCCTTCATCCAGCGTGTTGGTGGCGCCCTAATACAAGAAGTGTGTTACTGACCAGATCACCGGGTGAAAACAGAAGGGGAAAAGCCCTAAACAAAGAAATCTAATACAGTCACCACATCTAATGATTGGTAAGATGCAATATATTACATTTTTGATTTGGGGTTTAATACAGGTTTAAGGTTTCATTCACACTTGCAGCTGTCCTTGCTGCTCCTCTGCAAAGCAATCTGCAGTGGATCGCCTTGCAGAGACATTTGGCAAGTGACTCAGATTCCATATGCTGGCCTCCAAGATGCCAGTTTTAACCCTTGAAAGGCAGCAGCACTACTACAACTGTGTGCATTACACATGGTTGCAGGGAAGTTGCAGCAAGGCACCAATTACTTGAATGGGTTGTGTTTGTCAGTAGTACTACTCAAAAAGATGTGATTCATGGTATAATTTTTGCTGTGGCATATGTACCAATCCCGCTGGTCACCATGTTGGGTTAAGGGAGGGGTGGTAAAAACACAGATCAACCTTTCCCTTAGATGGTAAATGAGGCCTTACTGCTTGAATTTTTATATTTGAGAATTACGTGTTTGCTGCTCAGGAGGACATTTCCCTGCAAAGGCACATACTTTTAGTATGTTAGTCTTTTTACACACAGCTTGTCTAAGGTGATTGTAGTTGTATTAGTGTACTTGCAGCCAGTGGTGTATTTAGGCTTTTGCAACCCCCCCCCCCCCCCCCCAACGAGAGAGCCTGACACTGAATTTTTGTCCTCCTCCAGCCTTATCTTTTTATTGTGTAACAAATACCTTTTTTTTTTTTTTTTTTTTTTTTCAGTACCCGGCTCCTACTTAATCCTCACCTAGGCAAGGATGGCATCACCTCAGCCTGCCCCTTCACCTGCCTAACCCCCATCTTCCGCTTTTAGCCACCTGGGATAATGTCACACATCCCAGGAGGCTACAAGACCAGTCTCCATGTACCTCTTGATCTCATGTATGTCATCAGGAAGTGACAGCTGACTTTCAAAGTCAAGATGACAAGGCCGAAGATCCAAAGCTCTAAGAAAAGGTTGCTGGGAAGACAGCCCTGGACATCCTGGGCTGGTATGTATCTGTTTCTTGAAAGTCAGTCAATACATTATTATTATTTTTACTGTAAAAGCCTGGGTGAAGTTCTTCTTTAACCACTAGCCTACAGGGCACTTATACCCCCTTCCTGCCCAGGCCAATTTCCAGCTTTCAGAGCTGTCACACTTTGAATGACAATTGTGCAGTCATGCAACACTGTATCCATATGAACTTTTTATCATTTTTTTTGAGACAGATAGAGCTTTCTTTTGGTGGTATTTAATCACCTCTGGGATTTTTATTTTTTTGTTAAACCAAAAAACCACTGAAAATTTTGGAAAAAAAAAATTTTTTCTTTGTTTTTGTTATACAATTTTGTAAATAAGTGATTTTTCTCCTTCACTGATGTGCGCTAATGAGGCTGCAGTGATGGGCACTGATAGGCTGCACTGATAGGTGGCACTGATAGGTGACACTGATAGGCACTGATGAGGAGGCACTGGTAGGTGGCACTGATGGGCATTGACAGGCATCACTGATGGGCACTGATACATGACACTGTTAGGCGGCACTGGCTGGCACTGATTGGCGGCACTGATTGGCAGCACTGTAGTTGGCACTGATTGGCATTGATAGGTGTCACTGACTGGCACGATGAGTGACATTGAAAGGCAGCTCAGATGGGCACTGATATGTGGCATTGATGTGTACTGGTATGCACTGATATGTGGCATTGATGGGCACTGATGGCACTGCACTGATGAGCACTGACAGGTGGCACTTCTGGGGCCACACTGATCATCAGGGCACACTGATCATCAGTGCCCTGATGATCAGTGTACATGTCCCCTCCGCGGAAAGCCGATTACCGGCTCTCCTCTCGAGCTGTCAGCGTGACAGCTCGAGAGGAGAGAAATACCGATAACCGGCATTTCCATGTTTTCATGTGATCAGCTGTGATTGGACACAGCTGGTCACATGACTGAGCCGACATCTTCGGCTCTATCCATGATTTGCTATGTCCGAGGGACACAGCAGAGCGGCGATCGCCGTGCTGCATGCTCCATGAGCCTCGCATGCGCAGTGAGAATGGTAGGACGTCCTATGACATCCTATCAGAATGAGAGAACCACCTTGCGCCCGTCATTGTACTATAGGGTGGGCGCAAGGTGGTTAAAGAGGATAATTTAAAGTGTGAACATATCCCTAAACCTATCAATACTCATTAGCTGATCATCATGGTCATATTGGGGGATGAGTGCTATGTCTATGGACAAATCTATGCACAAACTTATATGCTTTTTCCCTGGGGGAATGGTGGATTATAATGCGGAATGGACAGTTTTTCTAGACTCCAGGAAGGGCCCATATGAAAGCTATAAAAGTTCTCTTCATAGTAGGTCAACTTCAGCTTTGGAAGTCGCTGGCAGCTGTGTCACACAATCATGCATGATAAAGATAGATAGATATATATATATATATATATATACAGAAGAAGCATTGTTTTAATATTATCTGACACCATCTTCCTATTCTGTATATTATACATAGAGTAACGACTTTCATTGTGCCATGGTTCCAATCCTCCTTTATGTTGTTTTTTTTTTTTCCTCAGTGACATCACAACCATGACTCCAGCACACAGATTGGTATTTCCCCAGTGAGATCTCACCCCCAGCACACACATTGGTTTTTCCTCTCTATAATTCCTCTAGCACACACAATCTCCAGTTTCTCCTCCAGAGGCTTCCGTCTACATTCACGTTCTCCCACACAGGCAAATAGTCTATTGGACGCTGTCCATGACGTCCTTCTAGACATTGCACACTGAGTCCAGATGCACAGTTTAGAGGTTCAGCAATCAGAGTGAAGCTCAATTCAGCAGCAGTCTCCCCTCCCTTCTTCCTCTGCAGAAGTAGGCTTCTCGTTGTTTCTTTGCATGTAAATCTGTGCGTCCACAATTGTGTTTGCATGCATCAGGACATTAATTTACCTCTCTCCTGTATCCTGCATACACCTTACTCTCTAGTGTCCATTAAAGCAGTGAGATGGCCCCTCCAGTATACAGAGCCAGTTTTATAGTAGCAAAGTAAGTGCATTCAGGGCCGTCTTAATAGCATCTTGGGCCCCTGGGCAAAGTAATGCACTGGGGCCCCTACCAGCCTGCTCCAATTTACACACCTACTCTCAAGAATTAAAGTATAAATAGTTGATAGAATTAAACATACAGGGGTACACTACCGGGGAAGTTTAGGAGGGCACAATACTGGGATCAGGAGGGCACAGTACAGGTTCCAGGACACTGCCGGGGACACGGCCATCCCAGGACAGCTTAGTAAAAAGCGTGAGTGTCTCAGCAAATTCAGGACAGTTGGCAAGTATGATGTAATGCAAAATTATCATGGGGCCCCCATGCACCTGGGGCCCCTGAGCAGTGCCCATGCATTAAGACAGCCCTGAGTGCATTAACCTATTAGTCACCAGTCTGCAGCGTATGTGCATTAACTTCTCAGTGATCAGCAACCACAGAAGAAGCATTAACTCCCCCCCCCCCCCCCCCCGGCACCCACCCCCAGCTTATAAGCTTAACCCCTATGTTGGCCTATCTGCAATATTCCTTCTTCAGAGGAATGTGCATAACCATATAGACCATGTGTGCAGGGGCGGACTGACCATTTGGGAACTCGGGCACTGCCCAAGGGCCCGGGATCAGAAGGGGGCCCCATGAGATGCCTCTGGTACCTTTTCCATAGGCTTTTTTTGGGTGTGGTTTGAGTGTGGGCAAGGACATAGGGGCCCCCCACGGTCCCCTATTGCCTGGGGACCCCATGAGTTGTCAGTCCGCCCCTGCATGTGTGTATTAATTGCTTAGAGCCCAATCACCAGGTGCGGTGCATTAACCCTTTAGTGCCCATTTTCCTGCACATATGCAATAATTCCTCAATGCCCTGTCCTCAATCAGTGTGTAATAACCCCTCTGTATTTAGCACATGTGCATTAACCCCTCAGTATCCAGTTTCCAGTGCATGTCAGATGATCCCTCAAAATCAGGGTTTTTTTTTCTTAGAGAATAGGTGCAGGTGCTCCTCCCTTCCAAGTCACCCCTTGTCTTTGCCCCCTACCTCCAAGCACCATTCCTTGGTCAGACCCCGTACCTGCTTCTTTTAGAGAATATATAGAATTTGTATCCCATCAAGAACAGATCCCCCTAGCAACAATAGACTACTCGGCCACAAAAGACCCCATGCAACAAAATACCCCAGCAAAATAGATCTGTCTTTAACAATAGATCAGCCAGCATCAATAGACACTTCAGCAGCTAGAAACAACAGACCTCTATAAAAACAAATCTTACCTAAGCACAACTGCTCTATTCACCACATGGAGACAGGAGGAGACCAGTATACTGGCTGAGAAATCCACTCCTCACAGCAAATATCCACAATACAAGTGGCCAGCAACTTGGAACTTTTCTTAATGGAAGTCTTTATTGGTTACATAAATACAGGATCCATAAAGCTGACGCATTTCGGTTTCACAAACGCAAAACTTTCCGAGTTGCTAGCTACTTGTATTGTAAACCACAGACCTCTCCCTGAACAGAAGATCCCCTCCCAGCAACAATACACCTCCCAAGCAACAATAGCTTCCCAAGCAAACCCCCCTTCGCATCAATCACATCCCCCAGTGACAATAGATCCCGCAGACAGCAACAACTGACCTTCCAGTACACCCCACCACCTTTTTTTTTTTTTTTTTTTTTTTTTTTTTTTTTTTTTTAACATTCACTGCTAAACAGGGGCAGACTGACCATTTGGAAACTCGGGCACTGCCCGAGGGCCTGGGGGTCAGTAGGGGGCCCCATGAGATGCCCCTGGTACCTTTTTTTTTTCATAGGCTTTTTTGAGTTTGGGCAAGGACACAGGGGCCCCATGATCCCCTATTGCCTGGGGGCCCCATGAGTTGTCAGTCCGCCCCTGGTGCTGAAGGTCCCAGAACTGCATTCTCCCACATTCCTGATGAAAAATGGCCTGCTTGTAATTATTCAGTACAATATGCCATATATCAGTTTCAATTCCACAGACTCTGGTCCACAGATAATCTCATCTCCACCGTCTCATTTCCTGCTTAAGGTAAAACTATACTCCTCTCTACTCCAGTACTGTGGTGTCCTGGAGCTCTCTCACTGCTACTGACATCTTTGGGTGATCTCCTGGCCTGGCCAAGATTACATCACTCCTACCCATGCACAGAAGTTCAGCTTGGCAGATGTCGAAATTGTACACTGAGGTGCATGTGCATGGTTAAGTGTACAATGTGGACAGGCAGGTAAACTGTTATAAAGAACAGGTTAAAGCACTCTGTATATATTAGATTTAATCAAGTAGATCCTTTTTTTTCTTTTTTTTTTTTTTTTTTTTTTTTTTTTTATATGGGATTCCTCTCTATATTGTAGCACCCTCCTAGTTAGCTAGGGGGAGCTAGATTCCTATTGTTAGCTAGGAGGGCTGAGTAGCAGCATGGGTGTGTGATAGCCAGGTGGGTCAAGTTTTCTATCAGGGCAGACCAGCTCTCTGAGATTTCCCCCTGCTCTGGAACTTTTGGAGAAGGTTCTAGAAGCAGTGAGCGGAGGTGAGGAGTAGCTGGTCTGTACTCTTAAAGGATCCTGGCCAATCCCCAACAAGAGGCTTGGCAAGGGGCCAGGACAGCCTTTAAGAGTCTCTCTGTTTTCCCCCCCCCCCCCCCAGGTGTAATAGACTCTATACTCCTCCCCAACACATATTGCATGGTATTATACCCTCTGTATCACTCTCCTGCACATAATGCCTCCTGCCATAGCCTCCACACTCTCTCTCCTGCACATGCTGCTCCCATCATACCCTCTGTACCACTTTTCAGCACATACTGCCTGCTATCATACCCTCTGTTCTCATCTACATATACTGCTTGTTATAATAACCTCTGTCTGCTTCTCCTGCACATACTGCCTGTTATCATACCCTCTGTACTCCTCTCCTACACATACCGCCTGTTATCATACCCTCTGTACTCCTCTCTACACATACCGCCTGTTATCATACCCTCTGTACTCCTCAGCCTGCTGTCATAGCTAACCTCACTGCTTCTCCTACACATACTGCCTGCTATCATACCCTCTGTTCTCATCTACATATACTGCTTGTTATATCATAACCTCTGTCTGCTTCTCCTGCACATACTGCCTGTTATCATACCCTCTGTACTCCTCTCCTACACATACCGCCTGTTATCATACCCTCTGTACTCTCCTACACATGCCGCCTGTTATCATACCCTCTGTACTCCTCAGCCTGCTGTCATAGCTTCCACACTCTTCTCCTACACATACTGCCTGTTATCATACCCTCTACTCTTTCTACACATACTGCCTGTTATATCCTCTGTACTCTCCTACACATACTGCCTGTTATCATACCCTCTGTACTCTTCTCCTTCACATACTGCCTGTTGTCACACCTTCTGTACACTCCATACTGCCCCATTTCCTACACACCACCTTCCTGTACATACTGCCTGCTATTACACCCTCTGCACGCCTTTCCTGCACACCCTGCCACTGTCATACGGTCCACATTCCTCCTCTGCACATATTGCCTGCTATCATTCTCTCCGCACTAGTATCCTGCATTTACTGCTTACTGCTACACCCTTCACACTCCTCTCCTACACCTCCTTTAGCACTATTTCTTATATCCCCCATGGAACGACCACACTTTTGCTAGTATGCGTAAATTGCAAAGAATATGCCAGAGCACAACAGCAGAGAGGAAACTGAAAGTAAGCAATGCAATGCTCCACTGAAAGCCTAGCAGTGCAGAGAGGTACTGCACTGAATCTGAGGTCTGATGCGTTTTTTTTTTTTTTTTTTTTTTTTTTTTTTTTACTGCCTAAGGGTAAAATGGGGAACATTTAAGGAGTATTTTAAATAAGATACAGCTTGTCCTTTAAAGAAAAAAGAATGAAAACAAAAACCCAAAACTTCCCGCTTTTTTAATTTTTTTTTTTTTTTTACTTTGAAACTCAAAAAAGCCTATGAAAAAGGTACCGGGGCATCTCATGGGGGCCCCCTACTGACCCCGGGCCCTCTGGCAGTGCCTGAGTTTCCAAATGGTCAGTCCGCTCCTGATACACTCAATTCATTAAGCTAACTTCTTTTACTTCTTATATAAATTACAGGACAGTAATTTTCAGTTGAGTCCAATGAGATTTGAAAATGATAGTCACATGGCTAAAATAAAAACCCTTATCTTTGTGTTTCGGGTACTTTCACATGGGCATTCCGTTTTTTCTTCTTCAGTTCAGTTACTTTTTTTTCTTTGAAAAAAACTGATAAGTTTACATCTGTTTTTTCAACCATTTACATCTGTTGACATCTGTTTTTCGTCTGTTACGGTTTTGTTTGCGGAAGAAAAAATAGGGTTTTCTTCCGTTCAAAAAACGGATGTTAACAGATGCAGACATTAACGGATGTAAAAACATGTTCACCCGTTTACATCTACAAGTCCATAGAAATGCATGGGGGTCCGTTTTTTTTCTTCCATAAACTGACGGATGAAAAACGGACATATGGAATGCCCCTATGAAAGGGGCCTTAGGGGTTTGTTCACACTTCACTAAATTTCTAACTCTTACCAAATGCTCCTATAGCTTTAGTATAGGCATTAGACAGGCATTAACAGGGGCGGACTGACCATTTAGAAACTCGGGCACTGCCCGAGGGCCCCGGGGTTAGTAGGGGGCCCCATGGGATGCCCCCCCTGGTACCTTTTTTTCATAGGCTTTTTTGAGTTTGGGCAAAGACACAGGGGCCCCATGATCCCCTATTGCCCGGGGGCCCCATGAGTTGTCAGTCCGCCCCTGGGCATTAATGAGCTTTAGTATGGGAGTTACTGGCTTTTTACAAGTGTTAAAAACACTCCCCAAATGTCCTATGTGCAGTTTTCAAGCGTTTTATAAGCGTTTGACAAGAGTTAAAACCACACCACAAACTAAATAAACTGTAATGTTATTACCGCTCCGCAACTGCACTATAAATGCCCTGAAAATGCCTGCCTGTGCGTTTGAGGAGCGTCACCATAGACTGGAGGAGTTTGAAGCCTTTCAAATGCTTCCCATTCAAAAGGCTTCAAACTCCTCCAGACTCGACATGAGGCTTCAATTTTGAAGCAACATGACTCCTCCAGACTTGACATTTATTTATTTCAGGTACTTATATAGCGCCGTCAATTTACGCAGCGCTTTACATATATATTGTACATTCACATCAGTCCCTAACCCTCAAGGGGTGTACAATCTAAGGTCCCTAACTCACATTCATACATACACATACTAGGGCCAATTTAGACAGGAGCCAATTCACCTACCTACTACTACCTACTGTCTTTGGAGTGTGGGAGGAAACCGGAGTACCTGAAGGAAACCCACGCAGGCACAAGGAGAACATGCAAACTCCAGGCAGGTGGTGTGGTGGTTGGGATTCGAACCAATGACCCTAGTACTGCCAGGTGGAAGTGCTAACCATTTAGCCACTGTGCTGCCCCATGAGGCTTAAATTTTAAGCAACGCGACGATAATGCTTCATGTTTTGATAATGTGAACAGCACTGCGTGCTGCCCATAGTATAATTTGTATAGGCATTTGAAGAGTGTTAAAAACGCCCCTCAAATGCCTGCTTTCAATGCCAGTGTGCACTAGGCCTTTAAAGCTTTGTGAATTAAGCCTTTTGTCTCTTCAGTAATAAAAGCTTGTACATTCCCAGCATCTGCTGGGTGCTGAAATAAATTAACTCGCATGTATTATCCTGTTTTGGCCAATCAAAATAAACAATGTCTCCCTTTTATAGAAGCTCAGCCCCTTGTATCTTGCAATTATTTTTATGA